TTTAAATATTAATTTTAAAATAAAAATAAAATATTAATATTTATATATTATTTTCCGGCGGATTTCCGGCGGCATAGTCCGCCGGTAATGTTTCCAAATTTTAATTTTTTTTAAAATATTTAGAATTATTTTTTTAAAAACTTTCCGGCGAATTTCCGGCGGAATATTCCGCTGGTATTTTTAAAATTTAAATATATATTCTTTTTAAAAAAGATTAATTATTTTCCGATGAAAAAAGTTTCCGGTGGATTTCCGGCGGAATATTCCGCCGGTATTTTAAAATATTAAATATATATTCTTTTTAGAAAAGATTAATTATTTTTCGACGAAAAAAGTTTCCGGCGGATTTCCGGCGGAATATTCCGCCGGTAAATGATTTATTATTATTATTTTTAAAACTTAACTATTTTGTTAATTTAATTAAGATTTTATAAAATAAACCGGTGAGGAATTACTGGTGGCCCGTTTTCGCCGGAAATTGGTAAAATCCGCCGAAAATCCAATCACCGGCGCCCCTTTTTCCGGCGGATTTGGCCGCCAGAAAAAGGGGGTTTTTTGGTAGTGGTTGTCATAGTAGGTACTTACAACTACAAGCATATACCAACGAAACTACCAACATTGAATAAAATAGAGAACTTGTTGGAATAAAATAGAGAACACACTCTCTATTTTTTCTATTTTAGAAAATTTATTAGAGATGTTCTTGTATTATATACATGAACCTGTCAAGTTTTTGGAATAAAAGAGTATCTCTAACAGTTATGTTATATTTTTTTAACTAAAATATTAAAAATCAAAATCTTTAGAATAATTAAATCAAACTATAACATCTACTCTATTATAGCAATTCATGCATTTTTTGAATTAGCAAAACATTTTATATAGAAAACTATAAAAATGATAACGCATTCAACTTCATTGGTAGAAACAATTAAAATAATCTCGTAAATATTATTTTTTAGACATTTCTCGAAATTTGAATATTTCTACCTTTTTTATGTATTTTAGCTTACACATTAGCATCGTTATTGGAGTAACAAACCTCCAAAATCGTCTTAATATTAATTTTAACATGGTTATTGGAGATGCTCTAAATAAAAAACAAAATCACAGTATCACTTCGTGTAAATTATTTACATCCATATGTTCGTTTTCAAGTTCCTACTCGAAGGGGCATTGGTTTCTAAACCAATAATSGCTTAAAATCATTGTATTCAGTCTCAAAATTTGGGCTGAATAAATGACCTTAATACGAGTGGAAATTGAAGCCTCAGATTAACGGATAAAACCCACGGTTTTTTTCTAGTGGGCCAAAAGCAAGTTGGGCCATGGAATATGAGCTTATGGAAGTCCATTATTTAAACTGAGATGCTATTTCTATCGTTTATAAAAATGTTAATACCATTATTTAATATTTGTGTTTTATTAAATTGTCCAACTTTGTCGTATCAACGTATTGGTTCACAAACACAAAAGTAATAGGTCATATGACTTCGTTCTAACAAATTTATGGATCGAACTTAGTTCAAGAATGTATATATTGTTATCCTCTTGCGTTGTGTATCTTTATGCCAATATACCGCCCTAACATCATGAGAGTTGCCTGAGGGTTTGTTCCTGGTGAATCAGAAAACACCGAACCATCAAGGACTCGTAAGCCGTTAATTCCAATCACTTTCAAATCACCATCGACGACTTTGTTGACCAAACATCCGCCATGGAAATGCCAAAATGTTCGTAACGTGTTACGACAAAATGCCTCCASGGATTCCTCATTTGATGGATTTTCAGGTAAGGAAAACCCAACGAACTGAAAATACTTTCGACCGTCACGGTCACTAAACTTGTATGTCTCCATGGCTTGTGTTCTTAACATTCTATCCAAAACATTCACCATATTAGCACATTGTCGAAGGTCTTCTAAGCTCGAATAGTAATTAAACGATACTTTTGGAGTAACAGTAACATCGCTTGCAGATTTTAAATCGAGAATTCCAACTGATGCAAGTCTTAGAAACTTGGCCACAATCGTTATGATGCTTAAATTTAGTGGCGCATATGGATAGGGGAAAATTATGGTGCTTGCAGGAGAATAAAACGGAGCCACACCCGAAACAGTCTCTATGAACGGGCCTTCTTTTGTGATCCCGACCACTCGGGATCCAATATCAGCCAACGGAAAAGGCACCAAAAGACTAATCTCGGTACGTGGATTATCAGCCATGAATTGTCGAACAAAAGGATGATGACGAACGACGGTGATATTTTGTGATAACAAGTATGATTCCGGCCCGACTCCACTTACAAGCAAAAGTTGTGGGCTACCAATAGCTCCTGCGCTCAATATCACTTCACCATTTCTTTTTATATG